GGGGGGACAGCTAAATATAGCTGTTAGATATTAATAGTTAACCACCAAACTGGGGTCAAAACACTATGAAGGCGTAAAAATAGGTTTTAATACCAGCAATACATAATTGTAGAAAAAATTACAAGCAATACATTTTTTATAAAAATATTACCAGTTAACAGATTATTACAGAGCCGCCAGTCGTCACGATGACCAAAGCCGTCAGTCGTCACGATTTTCAGGATTTCGTGTTAGAGGCTATACAGAGCCTCGTTCTGTCATTGAAAAAACACATCATTGAGCACACGTTTGCAATTATTATGCGTCGACACAAGTAAAAAAAAGCTTCTGTTGTGATACGAGCTCTGATGAAAAGTGATTCGCTCTGAAGAGGCAGGTGGGAAATAAAGAAACTTCAGTAGCACAATTTTTCAAAGGAAGTTTAACAAATTATGTCGCGAATAAAATCACAAAATTAAAATTCAATCGAACCTATTGAAATTAAATTCACGATTTTCGAGATTTTGTGATTTTTCCTGATTACGTGATTTTGTAAATTTCGTGATTTTTGGGATTTTCGGGATTTCGGGATTTTCGTAATTTCGTGATTTTCAGGATTTCGGGATTTTCGGGATTTTCGTAATTTCGTGATTTTCAGGATTTCGGGATTTTCAGGATTTCGAGATTTTCGTAATTTCGTGATTTTCAGGATTTCGGGATTTTCGGGATTTCGAGATTTTCGTAATTTCGAGATTTTCGTAATTTCGTGATTTTCAGGATTTCGGGATTTTCGTAATTTCGTGATTTTCAGGATTTCGGGATTTTCAGGTTTCGTGATTTTCGTAATTTAAGGATTTTAAATTTCAGGATTTTCGGTTTTCGTAATTTCGTGATTTTCAGGATTTCAGGATTTTCGTAATTTAAGGATTTTTAAATTTCAGGATTATCAGGATTTTCGTAATTTCGTGATTTTCAGGATTTCAGGATTTTCGAAATTTCGGGATTTTCGTAATTTCGTGATTTTCGTAATTTCGTGATTTTCAGGATTTCGGGATTTTCGTAATTTAAGGATTTTTAGAATTTCGGGATTTTCGGGATTTTCGTAATTTCGTGATTTTCAGGATTTCGGGATTTTCGTAATTTAAGGATTTTTAGAATTTCGGGATTATCGGGATTTTCGTAATTTCGTGATTTTCAGGATTTCAGGATTTTCGAAATTTCGGGATTTTCGTAATTTCGTGATTTGGGGGATTTCGTGATTTTAGTGATTTCGTAATTTAGCATTCCTTTTACTTCTATTGATAGGGAAAAATTTTTTTCTGTATTTTATGCTCAACTCTCGAAGCTTCAACCTGTGTCTGGTGAAAAATCTTGCGACTTTCTTATGCCAGTTTTCCTATTTCTTTCTCTGAATCGAAATGGAAATGCGAACAGCATAGGGTTATTAGATCCCTTAAGAATAACCATTCTTTGGTTATTACAAAACTGGATAAGGGATCGGACGTTGTCCTCATGGACCGCCATGATTACATTAATAAAATGTTAAGTATATTGAATGACCCTTCCAAGTTTCAACGTCTTGGTTCCATTGACACTCATGACTTTTAATTGACTTCTGAAATTCGATTTCAGAAACGTCTTGTCAAATGGGTAAAAAGTGGTTTTCTTTCTTCTAAAATGGCGGAGGAATTGAGACTGTCTGTCTTCCCCGTCTGTATGGATTACCCAAGATTCATAGGGAGGGTGTCCCGTTGAGACCCATATTATCGATGATTGGGTCTTCCCAGTACAAAATGGCTGGCTATAATATTGCAACCAGTGTTGCAGCATTATAGTTCCTTTTGTATTAAAGATTCTGTTACTTTTTCCCATTTTATTCGGAATTGTGATGCCACTGATGGATTTAGGTGTTCTTTTGACATTTGCAGCCTCTTCACATGTGTTCTTTAATCGGAAACTATTGATATTTGTAGTGATTTGTTATATTGTAGTAATTTAACCCCTCCGACTATACCTGTAGATGTTTTTATTGAACTCATGAAATTTGCCACTATGCCTGTCGATTTTAGTTTTAATAATATCATGTATCGTGAGATTGATGGTGTAGCGATGGGTTCCCCATTAGGTCCTGTTTTGGCGAATATTTTTGTGGGATTTTTATAAGTCTTTTTTAGTTTCTTCCCGGCCCAAGGTTTACTTTCGTTATTGTTTGTTTAACCATGAATCGGAAGTTGATCAATTTTTCTCTCTACTCAACGGTGTTCATCCTGCCCTTAAATTTACGGTAGATAAGGAGGTCAATGGTTCATTGCCCTTCTTAGATGATCTGGTTCACAGAACACCTTCCTCGTTTATTACTTCAGTGTATAAGAATCTACTTTTACGGGTCTCTATACTCGATGGGACTCTTTTTGTTCTAAACAACAAAAGATTAATTTGATTAGGACTTTGACCCATAAGGCGTTAATGATTTGTTCAGATAACACCTTGAAAGAGGAAATTAGTTGTTTAACTAGAATCCTCGTGAACAATGGTTATCCGTTAGATATTGTTCAATCGGTTATTCGGGATAAGAATGCCAGGTTTAATAAAATTAAACTTGCTACGGCTGGGAAATGTCCGGTATATTTTCGTTTACCGTGGTTGGGTAGGATTAGTGAGTCCTTCGTCAAGCAGATTTCATTTCGTTCCGGTGAGTGTTATTATGAAACCAACGTTCCTGTTGTTTTTCAAACCAAGTCTGTTCTTTCATCTGTGTGTAAAGACGTTCTACCCACCCCCACACCATATTAATTCCGTTATTTATTATTTTAACTGTAGTTGTGGACTCGACTACATAGGTAGAACGACACAGCGTTTAGATGTTAGGATTAAACAGCACGTGCCTGCTAAAATACACAACAAAAATTTTCGTTTGGTGATAACATTCGAAATACATACGGGTTTTCTAAAGTGGATCACTTGATAAATAATCTGACCTGTGCAATGGATTTTAGTGTGAGCTGGTTCTCTGTTCTGGCCAGAGCACACTAGTTATTCCATCTGAAGGTGTTGGAGACGCTGTTCATCAGGTCCAGGCGACACGCTCTCTGTAAACAAAGAGACTGTTTGCTTGGGTTTGCGGTGCTGTGTCTCTAGCACCTTTGGTGTTATAACTTTTATTATTACTTTTTCCCTGTCCATTCATTCAATCACGTCATTGCGACAGACTTTCTTCTCATAATTTGATTCCCCGTTTACAGTTCTGACGAGAAGGGACGAAAACCGGTCGACTTGTGTTCGTGTTTTGTTTGAAAATTTGTCATGGTCTATAGTAAAAAATTTCTTGCCTTTAATGCCGTAATATATATATATATATATATATATATATATATATATATATATATAGAGAGAGAGAGAGAGAGAGAGAGAGAGGGAGGTTTTTGCATATTTTCTTTTAATATTTTTTCGGATGGCATGTGTTGAAATACCTTTTTAATACTTACATTCCTATATCGCCTAACTAAAATTTCCTGTCGCCCAGCATTTTCTGTTCAGTTTCCCATCGCTCACTCAACAGTTGAAATCGCCCACCGGTGGGCGATACAGCCAAGGTTGGGAAAACCTGCTGCGGATTAACTTGTCATTCATGTGTGGTACGCGTGCCAATATTCATGAAGGCAAATTGTTTTGGAAGTAACCTTTCTACTAGTAAATACCACATACTCTTTAATAATATGCGTATAAGATACAACATTGTGTTCCTACAAATCAATACAGTCCAGAAGTACCTCCACCTATCGAGGGCACAGACACTCGTAAATTACCGCATGTTTATGTCGGACGTTGTATTTATCAACGTTGCTACAAAAGCTGTGACAAGAACTCGTTTACTGTCATTTTTTTAAACATTTAATCATGAAATTAAAATTCCAAGTTAAATAAGATCTTCAGTTTGAAACCAAAGCGGCATTTTCCGTTCTTTAACAAAAAATCAACGAAACCAGGTGAAGATTAACGACTCGATCAAACCGTATTTTTTTTTAACTGTATTTTATTTATCTATATATTGTCTTTCACAAGTGTGAAGCACAAGATTGACTGATTCGTTTTCTACGGCTTTTCAAACTTTTACAGGTTATTTAAAGCCAGAAAATATTTTTAGATTGTAAGATTTTGGTGGGGAGGGGGAAGATGATAATGATTTAAGGACACATATCTTACTAATTAACCCATAGCTGGAGGAAGAGGTATATTCGTAACTTTTCCAAAGGTATTTGCTCGTAAGTGAATATAACGAAACCAATTGGAATTGGTGGTAATGATGGTGATCATGATGGTGATGATGGTGATGTTGGTGAGGATGATGATGATAATGGTGATGTTGGTGAGGATGATGATGATAATGGTGATGATGATAATGGTGATAATTATGATAATGATGATTGCAATGATGATGGTGATGATGATGGTGATGATGGTGGTGATGATGGTGGTGATGATAATGATGATAATGGTGATGATGATGGCGGTGATGATGGTGATGATGCTGATGATGATGATAGTGGTGAGGATGATGATGATGGTGATGATGATGGTGGTGATGATGTTGATGATGGTAATAACGATAGTGATGATGATGGCGATGATGATGGTGATGTTGCTGATGATGATGATAGTGGTGAGGATGATGATGGTAATGAGGATGGTGATAATGATGGTGATGATGGTGGTGATGATGATGATGATGATATTGGTGATGATAATGGTGACGATGATGATGATCGTAAATAACCGCATGTTTATGTCGGACGTTGTATTTATCAACATTGCTACAAGATCTGACAAGAACTCGTTTACTGTCATTTTTTTAAACATTTAATTATGAAATTAAAATTCCAAGTTAAATAAGATCTTCAGTTTGAAACCAAAGCGGCATTTCCCGTGCTTTAACAAAAAATCGACGAAACCAGGTGAAGATCAACGACTCGATCAAACCATATTTTTTTTTTAATTGTATTTTATTTTTATTTATCTGTCTTTCACACCAATAAAGCACAACAAGATTAACTAATTCGTTTTCTACGGCTTATCAAACCTTTACTGGTTATTTAAAGCCAGAAAATATTTTTACTTTGTAAGCTTTTTTGGGAAGAGGAAGATGATAATGATTTAGGGACACATATCTTACTAATTAACCCATAGCTGGAGGAAGAGGTATATTCGTACCTTTTCCATGGGTATTTGCTCGTAAGTGAATATAAAGAACCCAACTGGAATTGGAACTCTGCTTTACAATTAACAATTCCGAGCCATTATCCATTATACCACCCGCATAATCCGAGCTTACAGCACCTTGTATTCTCAAGTGATCACCTAACTAAGTACTAACCAGGTTCGTCGTTGCTTAACTTCAGTGATTGTACAGGAATCGGAGTTTCAACATGATGTAGTCGTATCGCACCCTCCCTTCCCCGACCGTCCCGACAAGTGTCTAATCAATTGTAATGACGAATGTGTTATTCTAACAAACCGTTCTTTAAATATATCGTTGCAGGTGATGAAAAATGAGTTATATATGAAAATGTTCAATGCAAAAGTTGGTGGATTGACAAGGGTAAATATCAAAAAGCGACCCCTAAACCTTAAATCAATGAAAGAAATAACATGCTGTGCGTGTGATGGAATTATTGAGGTATTATTCGTTTAGAGTCCTTAAAATGCAACGAAACCCTAAACGTACATTTATATGTCCAGCAGCTGCAACGTGTCCATAAAAGTCTGTTTGAAAAGCACCCTGTGCTCATCATTAGGGAAAATGTTTTTCCCTCCATGACACAGGAACAAATTTGGAACTCGGTTGGTCTGTTCTAACTCATTTTGCATTACTATGTCACTAAATTCCAGAACGAACTCTTCAATCGACAAGGCCATGCAAATATTGTGAAGAATGTTAATTCCTCATCCCAGAAATCAAAACAGAAATTATCAAAGAGCTGCCTGATAAGTGGCAACTAATCATTGCAAATAATAGTTAATATAGAATTGAATAAAATGTAATTGCACATTCCAACCACCTGAAGAAGGCCTGAGCGTACATCGACCGAAACGTTGTGATAAATATAGCAACAAAGATGAGGACAATAGTCCGAATAATGTAAATAGTGTACATAATACCTCATCTCAGAAATATAGACAGATACTGAAAGGCCGAAACGTTGTAATAAATATGGTGACAAAGATGAGGACAATAGTCCGAATAATGTAAATAGTGTACATAATACCTCATCTCAGAAATATAGACAAATACTGAAAGGCCGAAACGTTGTAATAAATATGGTGACAAAGATGAGGACAATAGTCCGAATAATGTAAATAGTGTACATAATACCTCATCTCAGAAATATAGACAGAAAGGCCGAAACGTTGTAATAAATATGGTGACAAAGAAACAATAGTTGTAAATAAATCATCCCAGAAATATAGACAGATACTGAAAGGCCGAAACGTTGTAATAAATATGGCGACAAAGATGAGGACAATAGTCCGAATAATGTAAATAGTGTACATAATACCTCATCTCAGAAATATAGACAGATACTGAAAGGCCGAAACGTTGTAATAAATATGGCAACAAAGATGAGGACAATAGTCCGAATAAGGTAAATAGTGTACATAATACCTCATCTCAGAAATATAGACAGATACTGAAAGGCCGAAACGTTGTAATAAATATGGCGACAAAGATGAGGACAATAGTCCGAATAAGGTAAATTGTGTACATAATACCTCATCTCAGAAATATAGACAGATGTAATTGCATTTCATTTTTTTTTAGAATAAAGTTGATAAACAGAAAGGAAATTTATGAATCAACCTTAGTGATCGCCATTATATTAATCACTCTCATATTCTTGGAGAAAAGAAGTTCTCGAATGACAACATCGAGGAAGAACTCAGAAAAAAAATTCTAATCCGTCATCCGTGAAGAAAAATAAGATCTTGAACAATGCTGAACAAAACATTTGTATCAATCGAAAATAAATAATTAAATAAAATGAGTCTAAAAATATAAACGCACTGAGGGATCACATTAATTTTTTTTTTTACGTAGGTCAACGTCACCTTCCCACCCTTCTCCCCCAATTCCAAGTAGGTCTTGCAACCTGTCAGTCCAGAAGTACCTCCACCTATCGAGGTCACAGACACTCGTAAATAACCGCATGTTTGTGACGGGCGTTGTACTTATCAACGTTGCTACAAGAGCTGTGACAAGAACTCGTTTACTGTCATTCTTTTTTAAAGGAAATACCATGTGCTTTTAGGGCGTAGATTATCATTGCTCTTTACAGGTTTCCTTTTCCTCATAATCTGGGATTTAACATTACTTCTTGGGGAAGATAGTTGAAGGGTTTCCCTTTGCCTTCTCCAAGGTTTTCATTTCAGAGTTGTCCTTCTCTTAGACTGGTTGCCATCCAAGGCTAGGGAGCGTTGTTCTACGATAATATTTAACCCAGGGTTTGAAGAAGAAGAGGCGGAGACATTTCGCTCACTGGGGTAGACTGTTCTAGTTCCACGTGCCATGTTTAATGGGTGTCAGTTATCAGTTATCTCCTGTTAATTCCCCTCTCCAAGTTCTCCCCTTCCGTAACAGGGTATTGAACTCACACTCTTTGGATATAACCAACGCCTCCCGGTTAAGGCAGTGGAGAACTTGGAGAGGGGAATTAACAGTAGATAACTGATAACTGACATCCATTAAACATGGCACGTGAAACTTGAACAGTCTACCCCAGTTAGCGAAATAAAGGGTTCAGTTCGAAATTCCAACCCGAAACGTTGTAATAAATATGGCGAAAAAGATGAAGACAATAGTCCGAATAATGTAAATAGTGTACATAATAACTCATCTCAGAAATATAGACAGATACTGAAAGGCCGAAACGTTGTAATAAATATAGCGACAAAGATGAGGACAATAGTCCGAATACTGTAAATAGTGTACATAATACCTCATCTCAGAAATATAGACAGATACTGAAAGGTTGAAACGTTGTAATAAATATGGCGACAAAGATGAGGACAATTGTCCGAATAATTTAAATAGTATACATCATACCGCATCTCAGAAACATTGACAGATACTGAAAGGCCGAAACGTTGTAATAAATATAGCGACAAAGATGAAGACAATAGTCCGAATAATGTAAATAGTGTACATAATACTGTAGAAGGTTATTTGTCGAAATAGATCAAGAGGTCTACTCGAAGGTGCCGTCTTGCTGAATGACAATACTATCCGACACAAACGAACGACCTTCTCCAATCTCGAAGAACTAAGACTGTTTTTACTTGCCGTACTACATTAGCAGGATTTGGCACAAGGTCAGTTTTAATGTGGGGATCCCGACCGAATGCATCCGGGCCAGATCCAAAATTCCCCGCAAACGTTGGTTGTGCTGTCATCGCTAATACTACAGATCCCCACTTTCAGTGCAATAAGGAAGGTATTGTCGCAGGTAGCTGTTTTCCGGGAATAATATTTTCAGTTTCCGAAGACAGAGATCCAACAGAGAGGCGATGTGAAACACTTCATTGACGAAGGACAAAGACTACGTCAGTCGTCCAGAAAGACAGAAAGTTGTAATTGATCGACACTGGTACGGGAGCGCAAACTACAAACATATTTCGAGTCGACTCGAGCATTTTTTCCCTGGTTTTGTTTTTCTACATAGCACAGAGAACCCGAATTGTTTTTCAGGACAAGGCTTTGTTTTCTCCTTCGTCGTAAATGCCTATACAATTATTGTAATCTGCACATGGTATTAAAATTCAAATCGTATAATTCTGTTCTCATTGGTGGCTGAGATAAAACTATCCAGTGATCAATTCTAGATAAGCTGATTTTCAAAGCAATCTAATTCCAGTTTTTTTTTCAAATAATTCCACTAAGACACAAGTAGTCACAGATTGTGGAAAAATTAGGAACAGGAACATTAATAATGAGCAGAAAGAGAAAAAAATAATTGCGAGGATTGTATATAGCAATTGAAATTACATTCAAAATTTTGCTGACTAAAGATGGCTGTATCTGTCTATATTTCTGAGATGAAGTATTATGTACATTATTCGGACTATTGTCCTCATCTTTGTCGCCATATTTATTACAACGTTTCGGCCTTTCAGTATCTGTCTATATTTCTGAGATGAGGTATTATGTACACTATTTACATTATTCGGACTATTGTCCTCACCTTTGTCACCATATTTATTACAACGTTTCGGCCTTTCAGTATCTGTCTATATATCTGAGATGGGGTATTATGTACACTATTTCGGTATTCAGCCTATTGTCCTCATCTTTGTCGCCATATTTATTACAATGTTTCGGCCTTTCAGTATTTGTCTATATATCTGAGATGAGGTATTATGTACACTATTTACATTATTCGGACTATTGTCCTCATCTTTGTCACCATATTTATTACAACGTTTCGGACTTTCAGTATCCCCAGTTTCGGGGTTAACTATTTCCCTATAGCTGGTACCCTAACAGGTGCTACCACACCGAATCAGGTTGGACCTGGGAACACCAGTAATTAAGAGGTGGTTCCACGCTCCTCAAAATCTCCTGAACAGAGGCCTTGCTGTTGGATGTAGTTTATCGTCTTACACAGGACGCGGATGTAGTTTATCGTATTACCCAGGACGCCAGATGCAATTTATCGTCTTACCCAGGACGGAAAATATATATGTTTTCTTTTTTTAACCATTTCATCCCAAACAAGACGATGATGCCACTAGGACGCAGTGTAGGTTACAGGGAGTGAAAGAGAATTAAAATATTTTAGTGGGGACGATTGACGAAAAGACAAGAAACGGAGACGGACGATGGCGATTGACATTGCGTTTATATTTGAAGTTTGTAGTTATCAGGGAAGCAAAAAATAAGAAGGGAGTTCTCCAGATGAAGTAGAAGTGACGGCTGAATCTAGCTAGTTCAATAGCAACGTAGTTATCAATCTAGCAGTCGAGGCGCCAAGGAGGAAAGCTCATCCGTACACCTGCCATCAAAATATTTTGGAAAAGACAGAGAGAAGCTATGGCACATCGGTGAGAAAGGGAATGATGCTACATCAGGACCGATAACATTAGAGTTCCTTCCTTAAAATTTGTCAAGAATCTCGAGAAATCTAGTAGAAGCACTAGACCAGATATAACACGGACAAATGGTAGATTTATAAATAGTCGAGATAGATTCCGACGAGAAAAATTGTCTGGTACGACCCAGAGAACCAACTTTCCATGCAGCGGACATTGCAGTTGATTCAAAATAAGCTTTCCAATTCATGTCAGCAGAAAACGTAAGCCCGAAAAGGCGCAAAGTGTTGCTCTCCTGTCGGTTAACATAATTCTATATGAATATGTGTAAAGTTTCAGAGCAATGGCATCTTTAGAAATATGATGCCAAAAAGAATTTGCCGACCGCGGGGATATGCCAAAGAGAAGCCGTTACCTTTAAACGCAATGGTGGATACTCTCAGCATGAAACGGAAAGAAAAAAAATATAATATCTTGAAATTGCGAAGATCTGATAACGAATACTATATCCGTAATATAACTTTTATTACAGAAAACTTCTATACAGTTCTATTTCTTGAATCCGGTAACCTTGATACCAGACCATGACCGGATCAAAGGAATTCCGAATGAGGGAAATCACCATTCAAAAAAGACACATGAGACATTGTCTTGCCAGCTCATCAATATATATATATATATATATATATATATATATATATATATATATATATATATATATATTGTTTTATCAAAGATAGAACAAAGCTTAAAACAGGACATAAAACAATTATTAATACTTCCAAAGTTTCTATTGTTATAGGCATAAAAAAGTCTAAAGTCAAAAAATAATCTATTCTTACTTTACATTAGTAAGCCTAGAAAGAACCTGTAGCTCAAACTGGAAATAATAGTGTATGTATTGTAATCAATGCTTTCAAACAAGGTTTTTATTGTTTGATGCAATATAAAAATGCAAACCTAAAAACAAAACAACAATGAACTAATCGCAACTAATTCCAAAAAGTACCAGCAATAAATTTTATAATAGAATTACCAACGATACACTTTATAATGAAAATGACCAACAATACATTTTTATAGTGAAATCACCAACAATACATTTTATAGTAATATTGAAGACATGTCATACATTGTCAAAAAAAAAAAAACAAAAACAAAAAAACAATTTGCTTTGATTAATCTCATATCTTGTAAGGAGAAATAGAATAGAAATAGAATCATCAACAATACGTTTTATAGTCACGTGACCAACAATGCCTTTTTATAGTAAAATTACCAACAATACATTTTTCATAGTAAAATCACCAACAATACGTTTTATGGTAGAATTGCCAACAATACATTTTATAATAAAATGACCAACATTACATTTTTATACCAAAATGACAATCAATACATTTTATAGTAATATTGAAGACATGTCATACATTGTCAAAAAAAAAAAAAAAAAAAAAACAATTTGCTTTGATTAATCTCATTTCTTGTAAGGAGAAATAAATTTTCACACTTCATTTGATTTTGTAAGATTATTTGGTAAAAAAAATGCAGCTAAATAATTGTTGTAACCTAGGAAGGGTTATGGAATGAGAAATAACCAAAACCGATGTTGGAAATGGTAATCTTTATAACCTCAACAAAATACAACAGCGTGTACTTAGATAGCATATTACCCCCATTTACAATAGTGTCCAACATATGAGGATTGGGACGTACCCATTAGTGTTCATACGTACAAGTATATAACAGTAATTATAATTTAATCATGAAATGATGTCATTTTCTTAAATTAATTATAAAGTTTGAATTTTCATATTTAGATTTCAGCCTAGTGGTCGAAATTAATGTAAATCTTCAGATGCTAAATCCTAACGAACTTATCTTTCCTTAAGTATATTTTGGAGAGTGTGCCATTGCATTTATATACAGGAAAATAACACCTTTTCTTTTTCACCGCAATGCTTCGTTTACCCAATCTAATTGCTGGCAATAGATATCTGCAGTAATGGTCCTTACATGTTCCATTAGATTTTGTAATAGACGACATATTTTTATATCCTATCAAGCACAAAGCAATGACATTTGTAAGTGAATTCCTAGTTTAGATGCTGACACTGGTTTTTCATTTTGTGACAACTCTTGTCTTTTTCTTTTTCTATTCACAAGCAAATCCCATTTTTCAAGATCTATAAGAATGCCAAATCCCATTTTTCAAGATCTATAAGAATGCCAAATCCCATTTTTCAAGATCTGTAACAATGCAAAATCCCATTTTTTATTATCTGTAACAATGTAATACAAGAATGAAAGGCTGGAATTTTGGTTTATTTAGTCTGGTTTTGGTTTGTTTTACGGCATATCAACCTCAATGACGTATTTAATACCGACGAGATTTTTATTTCTGGTAATATTTTCTTTTTTTCAAAAAATTTTTCTGGTAATATTTTTTTTTCAAAAATGTATTGCTGTTTATGTATTCCTGGTAATAATTTTTCTTCAAAAATTCATTGCTGGTAATAATATTTTACAAACATAAATTATGTCGAAGATGCCAAGGTGGCTTCTGTGGCATCTCTATGGTTTGGATTCTTCGCTATAACCCGGCTAATGTCCACGATTCGCAGGAAAATCGAGAAGGCCAGTTTATGCAACCGTCTGACTGCTTTGGTTTGATTTGCTTTGTTTAATGGCTTATTTTATTGCTGGTAATATTTTTTTAAAGAATGTATTGCTGGTATTAAAACCTATTTTGACACTTTCATAGTGTTTTGACCACAGTTTGAGGAGGTTAACTATTTGCCCATAGCTGGGGCCCTAACAGGTGCTACCACCCCAGGTCAGGATGGACCTAGGGACACCAGTAAATAAGAGGTGGTTCCACGTTCCTCAAAACCTCCTGATCAGACGCCTTGCTGTCGGATGTAGTTTATCGTCATGCCCAGGACTCATTCCTGATTGCTGCAGATGTTAGAAGGGTGTGTTTGGTTCTCAAGCGAAAGCTCATGAAGAAGCCAAATTACCTCCTGGTATGTTTTTTTCTGACACTAGTAATTTCTGGTTATGGGGTATGATAAAGGATCGCCTGTATAGCAAAAATGTTAGAGACATCGAAGACAGAATGAAAAGTGGAATATGAAACATACTGTTGAGAGGTTCTTTCCTTTTTACGCAAATGGACTCACTCAGGGTATACATATACTACTGCTAGTGAATACCCGAGAGCGAACGAGAACGAACGAGAACGAACGAGAACGAGCGACGAACGTAACGAGCAAGAGTCACAGTGAGCAAGCACGTAGACTCAGTAAGAAGTCATACAGTGATACGTCGATACCAAAGACTGTATATATATTTTTTGCTACTAACCCGCATTCCTGGAACTACTAACCTGCATTACCAGTTTGTATTATTACATTAATACATTTATTTTCCTATATTCCTTTTTGGCGTTTGTTATTTATTGGTACCGGATTTCATTCCGGAATCCACAACACATACCCCGTGAAATATGTGTCAAGGGCACTAAATTAGACTGTTGTTCGCTGGTTTTTGTGCATCAATCGTGCTAGTGAACAGATGGAGACTGTTCAATAAATACTGAATAAGTAATTTTTCTCATACTAGTGTTAACATCATTTTGACTCACCTTGTATTAAAACCAGAATTCTAATTATGAAAAATAAAATATGCAATTATTTTTACTGTATTCGATAAGAAAAAATGTGTAAAAAATTGTAATGGATTTTTAAAAAGTTTTCTCAATGAATAAGATTTGTTAGATCCTTTGTTAGATAATAATAAAAACAAAAAATAGATAAAAGTGTATATAACATAATAATACTGGGCACAAATTATAAGACAAAGTGTTTTAAATTTGCATTGTTTATTGAAAATCGCACTAAAACTACTGTATTGTATGACATATAGCATCATAATATAACTAAATTGTTCAGTATAATTTCCCTTTGAAGTAAATGAAGGTCTTATTTGATGGCACAACATAATTTAGTAATAATGTGCTTGTGCCTTGATTCTTGACAATACACAATTTGTAAAGCTTCAGGAAATAATACATTTTATAAGGCTGTGCTCTAAGCCTTTAACTGATCACCAGAATGAAATCGTAACGCTACGATTTTGAATCTAAACTTAATATTTCAACTCGTTTCCTCAAAAAACAGTAACGATTCGGAAAATAATATTTTGTGTCATTATTTCTCGTGGCAAACCTCAACTTTCAAATTCAATGCAATACTTTCTTTTTATGTGTCATGTCCTTTCACGACGTAGGCGATCATGGCTCTCCACCTCCCTCTATCCCTTGCAGCTCTCAGCAAGCTCCTTCCCTCTGCTTCCTCCCCCAGACCACGTTCTGCCATCCACCCGCTCAAGCTCGTCAGATATGTCACGCACTGCTTTCCCTTGTCTCTCTTTCTCTCTATTTGACCCGTGAGTATCAGATTCTCCACGCCCTCCTTCCTCATTATGTGTCCCAGAAGCTTCAGTTGCCTCTTCCTGGTGTTATGTATAAACCTTCTCCTTCGACCTGCTCTATTAAACATGTGTTATGGTCACTAGATGGCCGTATGTGCAATCCCCGGATCCAGGAATTGAAACACTGGTCCAGCAGTAAAGAAAAATAATCAACAGATATCTTGTATCAGTCAAAGTGGGTATCTAATGATAGACAGTAATAACAACTAAGATTGTTCAATTATTCGAAATAAAGCATATAATAACAGCACCTTATTAAGCACGGGGTTACAGAAACAACTGAAAATTTCCCGTTCGTTTTTTGGGCCACAATTGTTCAGCCGCCATATGCTCTACGGACGTATAACCACGAGAGAGGGCCGAATACCAGCTGGGAATCTTCTGAGTTAAAGGAAAGAGACAGTGCGTTCGCAGTGCTTCTGGTCTCTGGGCGGTCGCTAACCTCATCCCGCAATTGTTAACTCGACATTTTCAACATGTATTTCTAGCGAAGAAATCGAGTAGCGACCTACCTTGTCTTATTTATTTTGCTAAATAACAAAAATATGGCACACGGCTGAAAATTGGGGGAGGATGAAGGGAGAGATGTTGGTCTTCACCGTCCTGACATGAATTTAGCTAATCGTATTCACTGACTCATAAAGTCTTCATTATTCCTTCAACTACAACGGAGTTTTATATTTTGAATTTTCCACTAAAGATTCAAATACTCTCAATGAAAATTCAAATTAATAATCTATTTAGAATTTTCATGTGGGGAAAACGGAAAAAAGCAAATTATTAAAACCTGGCAATCTAAACGATTTACCGATGATTTGAAATAAAATAATATTTATAGCGAAAATAAACAGAAAATTGTATGCCTTACTACATGACCCCAAACACGATCTAATATGCCAGAAACGCAAGTTAACCGACCGAAAAATGATGTGGGGGAAAACATACAATAAATAAATGTTGGAGTTCTATAACTGGCACTGAGAACAGAATGAATAATTTTATTCATATCACGTTTTATAATACAACAGATCACGACTAAAAAAAATTACGAAAATTAAGGGCGGGGGGTGCAATTTGCGATATAGATTCGTTCGTTGTAGACTGATCTCCAAATAGGAACCGAAACTTAAATGACCATATGACCCGATTTCATAAAAGGGGTATATATATATATATATATATATATATATATATATATATGTAAGCAAATATATGGATATAGATCCGACAGTATGAAGAAAATTATACAGAAAAACAAACAAAAATCTTAATATACTTATGTAATATTAATGTTAATATAAAGTCAACGTCAGAACATCGTAAAAATTCAACATGAAAAGACGATGGAATTGAATTTTATATGTTCTAATGTTAATTATGTTTTATGAATATGTCCTGATGATGGTCGAAAATAGACCGAAACGTCCGACGTTGACTTTATATTAACATTAATACAGCATAATTGCATATTAAGATTTTTGTTTGTTTTTTTCTGTATATTTTTCTTCATGTATATATATATATGTGTGTGTATGTGTGTGTGTGTGTGCGCGCGCGCGTGTATGTGTTTATGCGTGTGTTTGTGTGTGTGCTGATATACGTACATATACGTGTATGTATGTATGTATATATATATATATATATGTATGTGTGTGTGTGTGTATATATATGTGTATATATATATATAGTTATATATATTTATATATATATATATATATATATGTGTATATATATATATATGTGTATATATATATACATATATATGTGTATATATATACATAGATGCGTATATATATGTACATGTGCATATATATATATATATATATATACAAATATATGTGTATATATATATATGCGCGTGTGTTTGTGTGTGTATTTTCGGTTTACACATTATATTTATGGATAAACATATTTAAGTAAATCCTAAATTCTTTAATTAAACAGTATTAATTATTTTTACCGACCTGAATTTTTGAGAAATTTCGTGGAAAATTTGCGTTCTCCTAGGAGGGACCACCATTAGGCCTAGCGTGCTATACCCGTTAAGCCACAGAGCATTCACTGTTAGCCGGAAGTTTACTGTGGCTGAACGGTTATAGCATGCATTCTTTTATAACCTATAAACAAAAAATATATTAAATCATTGTTATATATATATATATATGCCCAGACGATGACATACTGCTAATAAGAGAGGGAAAATTAAGGATTAATTAAGGGAGGGAAAGTATTTTTTTGCTCGTCATTGTTTACATTTACTTTATACAAGTTATTAGACAGTCACATTATGTCGCGAAAAGAAATCTCGAGATTTTGGTATGGGTGAGATTTTCCCGTCAATATATATATATATATATATATATATATGTATGTATGTGTGTGTGTGTGTGTGTGTGTGTGTGTGTGTGCTTATATATGTTTATATATATTTGTGTGTATATATATATATATATATGTCTGTATATAATTTAGCATATATGTATATATATATATGTATACATATATGTGTGTATATATGTGTATATATTATATCCATATATGTTTATATATATATACATATCTGTGTATATATATACATATATGTGTAAATATATGTGCATATCTGTATGTATATATGTATATGTGTGTCTATATGTGCATATGTATATATATATATATATGCGTGTGTATATATATATGTGTGTACATATATATTTGATTATATACATGCGTGTAGATATATGTGTGTATATGTATTTATATATATGTGTGTATATATATTCATAGGTGTATATATGTTTATATATATATGTGTGTGTATATGTATGTATATATATTTGTGTGTATATATATATGTGTGAATATCTCTCTATATATATATGTGTATATATATACGTATACGGGTGTATATATATTTGAGTATATATATGTATATATATCTGTGTATATATATATATATATTCCAACGTACTTTCAATCCTCGTATATAAAGGGCTTCTAGGATTTAAAGTTTTTCTTATTATTATTTCGATGAATTACTAATGTATTTTCCGCTGATATCTGTCTAAACTGTGAAAGCGGACATGCGTATTCCGTTAAATGTTCTGAGATTGAACTATGCTCATTCAAGTGATAAGTAAGCTGTCTCGTCATCGGCGTCGTTGTGTTAACATTTTTCTCATAGATGCAACTAGAACAGTCTACCCCAGTGAGCGCAATAAAGAGTTAAGCTCAACATTCCAACCATCTGAAGAAGGCCGGTGCGTACAACGGCCGAAACGTTGTAATAACTATAGCGACAAAGATGAGGACAATAGTCCGAATAATGTAAATAATGTACATAGTACCTCATCTCAGAAATATAGACAGCTATTTTATAATAGGACATTCACTTTTATAGTTGAGAGTGCACGTGTTTGTGCTTTTTTATATGGTGAGGTAGTAAATGTATTATTATTAGTGTCTATCAATACATCAAGAAACGAGATTTTATTGTCATTGTTAAATTCGTATGTGAACTTAAGTACAGAGTTTTATTGAAAGATTTTTGTGGTTCATGTATTTCGTCTATGTCTTTGACTAAAATGAGAATGTCATCTCCATATCTTAGGTAAATGGAGTTTTTTTTTTTTGTCGTGTTAAGTACGTTATTTTGTAGGTTAGTAATGTAGAAGTTACTAAATGCTGGTCCTAGAATGGAACCCATGGAAACACCATCGCATTGCACATATGTATTATTTTTATGGTCATAGAAAGGAACTTCTGTCGTGCACATCAAGAGTTGTTCCCTTAAAATATTAGGACGGATTTTTAATAGAGGGAGAGATGGATAGTTGTAAATACTCTTCCTGGTTATGTCTATCGTGGAAGCCCTTTATAGAAGAGGATTGCGGCTCCAAATAAATAATGTTAATTATGAGTATAGCAAAAAATATCTTAAATGTTTGTAGCAGAATAGTTTTATAAAAAATGCTTAATTAAAATATTATAAGTAAAAAATTAAAACTTATTTTATTTTTTAAATATTAAAAATAAATACAAAAGTTACCCCCCCGCCTTAGATATTCGAATTATACATATTGGAACGCTGTAAGCCTGTGTTTCTCAACTTTTTTGAGCCCTGTAAACGAATAGTGAATATATATGCTTACCTGGCACAGGGCACTGTCCCTGTGCTGATGATATCACGGATATGACTAGCTTAAACCAGCTCTAACCAGCTTGGACAAGCTATGACCAGCTAAGACAAGCTTAGACCAGCGGCACGAGTGAAAACACTCGGTTCCCCACGTTAAAAACTGACCTTGTGTCACAACCTGACTCAGTGGTGGTGGTGGGGGGGTCAAGTAAATATATATATATATATATATATATATATATATATATATACACACACATAGATAGATAGATAGATAGATATGGGTACAGTAAAAAATTAAGCTAAATAAATAACGGATATGCACATATACTTGCACGTACGTATACATTTTTTTTACTCGGGTTTTATAAAGACAGTGCTCAAATTTATATAGCAGAGAGAGCTATTAAGCATATAATAGTAAATTCACATAATATCCCACGTCGATTGCACGACTCGAAGTTACATATGGCTACACAATCTTCAGGTGCTGAGTGCTCACTGACCCTTAATCGTTACGAAATTCATGTTCTCTTGATTTAAAATTGCGTACGTGTCCCTTATATTATTGGTGTCTATAATATTTAAATTAATTATTAATAATTTATATCGATGAAAGTCGTAAGGTCGAAAAATGGGGAATTAAAAAACAATTAATTTAAAAAAATTTGAATTTCAGTAAACGCGCTACCTATCAAGGGGGATTACTCCCTTTTTTGCATAAAAAACCGTCGTTCGTGGTACTATGAATAATAAGTGCTGATTAAAGTATATTGCAAAAGTAATGCCTAATGGTATAAACTTAGCTCTCAAGATGTTAACTTAATTATAATTTAGGGTGATATACACAATGCATTTTAAACCTAGCCTTATACTTACAAACGTGGAATTATATATACAAACGCAGTAAAATAATAAAGTATGATCTACTATATATGGTATTAACTCTGCCCCCCCCCCACTAGGACGAGATGTGACACAAGGTCTATTTTTAGGTAGGGGACCCGAGCGCGTACACCCGGGACAGGAACAAAAATTCTCCTCAGCCCCCGCAACCGTTGGTTGCGCTGGCCTCGGTGTGAGCACTGATCCCTCCCTCTGGTGCAATGAGAGGGCGCGGCCTCGGGCAGCTGTTCCCAGGGCTGGGCACTTCTTCAGTATAATTTTCTCAGTTGCCCCTCTGACAGAGAAGCCCCTGAGCGCACTCTGTCCAAGGACAAAGACGCAACTGAGAGATGATAAGTAGATGTGTACCTACTCAAAAAGAGTAAGTTACACACTATATATATATGCATATTATAGATACAGTGTAACCCGGATATAAGAGACC